GGAGTCAAAGCGCTCCTCATTGTATTTACATGACTTTACCAGATCATTCATGGCCAATATGTGTTCTTTTATCTCAACCTGAGCCGATACATATTTATTCGAGATAATTTGTAATGAGTTTTTAAGCGACAAAACTTCTGAATTTAGACACTCTATTTCAGTCTCGTAACAGTTTTTCATATTTTCCACCTCAATTGAATATAATTTAAGTTTATTAATTAATTCATGCTTTTCCTTACATATATTTCTATAATTTTTTGTATTAATTTTTGTTTTAATTAACTTTTGTACTTTCCTAACATATTTATTACTTTTTATGTATTTCTTTAATTTTCTTCTACTGCATGTAATCCTTTCTGCTGTTCTTGATGTGACAAAATCATCACCAGTCAAATCGATTGTTGTGAAGGGTTGCAATGTTTTTGAAGATTTACATACTATGAGCTCATTGAACAGACTTGGAGTTTGGGACACTTTCAATTCATCCAAGTATTGTTTTAATTGCAAAATCTGCTCATTAGCCTCATTTAACTGCGACTGCAATGCAGCAATTAATCTGAGGGATTCCTCATATTCTTTGCTGCATCGGTCAAACTCATCGACTGTTCCCTGAAGCTGATCCCTTTCTTGTAAAACACTTGTATAGTCTTTATGCAACTTAACCATATCACTTTTTAGTTGACTATTTTTGGCAATTATATTTATTATTTCCTTTTCGTTGTCATCCCTTTCTTTAAGCAACAGCTCACACTGCTCCTTCGTCCTTTGACGCCTTAAGTTCTAGAAGCGCCATTTGAAGTTGGTTCTCCATTTGGCGCGTTTTGGCGTTGCGTGTATTCATTTTACTATTATGTGTAAATTGCAAAAGAAAACAAAGAAAGAAAACCGAAGAAACAGAGTAAGCTAATATCTAGATCTTAGCTTACAGATCTCAAATTAATTTATCAGGTAAATAATTCAAATTGAAATCCGAAACAGCACTAATTTAAAAGGTATATCTTAAAATATTAAAGGGATAACAAGAATTACAATAACTTAAAGAAAGTTCAAATGATGTTCGTTACAGCTGTTACTTTTAGTTGAAGCTTGAAGCTCAAAACACTATTTAATTAAAATACTTATGACTTTTACTTATTTTACAAACACAATTAAGTTTTATTAACAACTGTAACTAGAAATTGAGGTCGATATTATCAATTTACAATGTTTAATTTTGCTAAATAGTTGGGAGCTATTATTTTACAACTTGTTGGTGGATATTATCAATTTACAATGTTTAATTTTGCTAAATAGTTGGGAGCTATTATTTTACAACTTGTCACTCGGGTTGGCACCACCGATTTGCCTCTGCGGTAAGCATGCTGGCTGTAATGTATGGGCCTCGTAGTTAGAGCTATATCCCTTATATACGTATCTATGACCTTTTCCAATGTCTAAAGAAGAAAGGAAAATAGGCTTATTATAGGTCTAAGGGACTTTGGTAAAGCTTAGTACTTTCTACCGGCCTTAGGTATAAATAGAACCTTGACAATTGTCCATCGTTCTGGAATATATCCCCAGGCGAAACTTGCTATGAAGATTTTCACCAGATAGGGAAGAAGGATGTCAATACCCATCTGCAGTTGGATGGGAATTATTCAATCCTCCCCGCTTGTTTTAAATGGTTTAAAGGAGTCAACAGACCACTGCACCAGGTTTGGCCTTATTATCTTTGCAGCCCTACACCAGGCCACATTACAAGGCCTTCGTAGGGCTCCTAAAGAATTTAAGGTTGAAGTCATGTGTGACCCTGGGAAATGGGTTGATGCTAGTAACTCCAATGTTTCTGTATTAGTGTATATCTATCATCTATCTATCTATATCACTATTAGTGTAGTTACCATCAGGCTTTTTAAGAAGCCCGATCTGATTAGGTTTAGCTTTCGATAGCATTTTATGTAGTCTTGCACTGCGAGGCAAAGACTCAACTTCCTCGCATAGCTTCCTCCACGATGCTCTCTTGGCTTTCCTAATTTCTTTATTATACTCAGTTAGGGCTTTTTCCTAAGTTTTTTTTAGCTTAGTATTCCACCATGGAACATTTTGTGTTGAGGTCTTGGTTTTGACGCGAAGGCTTCACGGATACCTACGGTTACTGTCTCCGTCGCTAACTCCAGACCTTCAATTGTTTTGATGCTTTAAGGAAACGTTTCCAAATTCCTCATATCTGTATATATCCCAGGAGGTCGCTTTTGGATCCCTAAAAGTAACGGTTTCATAGGTTGGCGATACTCCAATCACAAACTTAATGTGTTTGTAATTAGATCGTCGCTACTAACATGCCAGTCGTTTTTCCCCCTGGAAATGTTATTGGTAGCAAAGGTTATGTCTAACACTTCTTGCCTAACACGCGTTACAAAGGTTGGTGTACAACCTAAGTTTAGTCCTACCAGGCGGTTGGAGATGAGAAAATCATAAAGTAACTCACCTCTTTCGTTGATGTTGGTGCTTCTCCAGGCTGTGTGGTGAGTATTAGCATCACAACTCACCACAAGTTCGGCGTTGTGTTTTCGGGTGAACTCCTCGACTCGTTCTAACTCGATGATAGGATCTGCATTCTCTCCGGGAAGATAGGCTGAGCAAATGATTACTATGGCCCCTGTGCATCTCTTGAAATTTATGAAGGATGTAACCAGGTCCTAGTGTGGGGGTAACGTTATAAAAAATACTGGTAAAAAACACCACTTGAGTGTGCTTAGGCTGCCTAGTTTATTTTTATGTTGAAAAATACTTCATAATTATTTTATTTGGACGTCATTGTCCAAGACGCTTGAAATAAAAATTTATAAAAGATAAGTACTTGTTGGTACTTATTAGTTTACAAGAAGCGCATTGGACGATAGTGTCCAAATAAAATAATGATGAAATACTTTTCAACGTGAAAATAAACTAGGTACATACCTCAGTAGGTATGTAGTTAATTTTCATGTTGAAAAGTAAGTATACGTCGACTCGTAAGTAAGCTATAGGCATAGGTACAAATCGTATCATGGTGTATCTGTCTATAATATACCTAATATAGATATCGCCACACGAGAAGGCTCTTTTGGTGCACCCAATTATTATCTGATTATTTTATAAATAAACGCTGGTTATATCAATCAATTACAATATATTTGTTTACTACATAGATGTATTCAACTATTAGTGGGTTATCAAAAGACCCTACACTTATGAAAGTGCGATCTGCAGCTTGTCGCTAGGCTTGGGTATCGGAAAAACAGACGTCGGTAGAGGATTCTACTCCTTGTCTGTCCGCATTATAAAAGATGACTTATAGCGCTTAATACGAATATTAGGAATGTCAAGCAAGTATGAATGGTAACCTGCAGTACGTCTCACACTCCGATAGGAGAATGGAGATGGTGGTATCACCTTGTGACGATTTCATAACTCTCTCACTTTACAAAATGGCAACAGGACAAGAGACATGTATAGTTCGTATAGAGATAATTAATATTCAATTTAAGTATGCGGTAATCAAGGAATAACAGTAGGGTCATCCTGATTCTTCGTTAAAATTATAGGTACCCGTAAAATTCAAAAGTTATGGAATGAAACAAGGTGATACACTTCTATAATTGTACTGCACAGAAAAATTTATATTTATCGACAGTATCAATACCGTTCAATAGTATCGTGCTTTTATGTGTTTTCCATAGTCTTGAACTCGTATACACTATATACTATAATCGAGATAATTATATTATATCCTTGTTTTCAATTTAAATTATTTCTGCAAGTAGAATTTAAAAGACCACACTAGACGTAGAAATACACTTGCATTTAAGTTATATTTTCTAAGCTCCAGAATTAATACGTAGAGTATGATATAGTACGAAACATTTATTACTATGCCTCGAAAAATGGCGGGCACACATGTAGTATTCCGTTGATTTATTACGTAATAATAACTAATAAACTGTTTCACCAAATTCCCCGATAAATGTGTGACTCATCGACCATCTTTATCTAGACGAAAATGACCTAATGAACCGTTACGACTTATATTTGGTCTATTAAATAGGGATAAAGCTCGATTAAACAAAATTTGTAAATTACGCAACACTAATAATTGCAAAAAACACTCATTAAGGGGAAATATAACCTCAAATGGCTTAGCAAGATCCTCCGTTATGCCGAAAATATTGCAGCATTAATTTTGAAATATATATATGGTAAAGTTGAGGATTAATGTTAAGGACTTCGTAAGACGAAAACAAAATTCCGTAAAATTATCTCGATACAAAACAAATTCAAAGTTACTTCCAAAATAAACAATAAACCGCTGTTATTCATAAAATACTTTAAATAAGATCATGAAACTTTGCATACTAACTGAACTAACTATAAAGCAGTGCTTATGTTATTTAGTTTTTTTTAAATACCATTATTTTCACTGTAAAAATAAATTACCTAAACTATCGGCTTCTTGAAGCGTGATTCCTGCCGCCCGGTCAGTTTCGCTTCGGCGTTTGAAGGGGGAGGTTGTGTCGCTTACGATCAGAATACACATTACGCAACAGGATGACGTATCATTAAAATGGGAAATAACCGTAATAAAAATAAGAAGCGACTAGGTTGGCGTTAAGAAACAGGCATAATTATGATAAACCTAATAAAACAAGTATCTAACGACCTATCTACTTACAGTATTAGTGATTACAAACATGTCGGTACATAACCTACGACGCGCGGGGAAGTTGGGGCGAAATTAGAATTTGAGCTGACTTACTATATCCTCTTAAAATCGTGGGTTATGCATTCAAACCCGCAAGAGAAACTAGAGTTATAACCAAGCCAGGAAGGAAAGTCTTCCATCGGTTTTCAAACCGATGCGCACGAACAGTGTCGCGGGAGCCTGCCAGTTTGAAGGCAGATACGATGACGTCACACAAGCTAGGGCCGATGAGAAAAAAACACATTTTTAATAAAAAAAACATTTATTCGAGGTAGTGCACATGGCTAATGTATTTTTTAAATCATTGCGGGCAGCATTACCGAATTTAAGAGCATTACCCACCACCACTTTGACTGCTTCCTTGACTATGTCGCTAACTGGTGCCGCTTGTCCAATGCCTGTGCCTCCGTCGTTCAGGGGAATGGAAGCCGAGGGCCAACCAAATGGGTTGTTGCCTGCAAGAAAGCCGCCGGGTCTGCAGCCACCGTCGCAGTTGCAGCACGCAAGGTTACACGAACCAACTCCACAGCAACCGGAAATGGGGGTGCATATTCACCGTCGTCACAAATAAAGCCCAGGTTAACGATGTCGTGAGCTTTACAGCAGTTTTTACTAATGTAATCCCAACAATACACTTTTTGTAGAGTCAATATGAATAAAATAATAGCCAATTTTTTTATAGGAGGGGGCAAACGAGCATACGGCTCACCTGATGGTAAGTGCCGCAGGTAAGTTACCGCCCATGAGCAACTGCAACATCAGGGGAGTTGCATATGTGTTGCCGACCTTTTAAAAAGGAATAGGCTCTTTTCTTGAAGGTCCCTAAGTCGTATCGGTCCGGAAAAATCTTTTAAATCGCACGGTGGTAGACCGCCAGTCATCCAGATGGTATGGATGGTCGCGTGTTTTGTCGCGATGTGAATGTGAAATTGTGCAGTTGGAATTAGTCCGAACAATTCCTCAGAGTACTCCCCGTGGTAGATGCGATGCAAAGAGATGCAACATCTCTTCGCAGTGCCAGTGTGTCAAGCCGATCGGAAAGAGCTCGGTCGGCGACGATTTGAACAGCTCTGCGCTGCATGCAATCTAATGGAAGGAGCCAGCACTTGGGAGCCCCTGCCCAGAGATGGGAACAGTATACCATGTGCAGCCGAACCTGCGCCTTGTAAAGTTGCAGGCGGTGAGCCGGCAAGAATTACTGTCCCGCTCTGCTGAGCACGCAAAGCTTTCTAGAAGCTAATTTGGCCTTCTCTTCCAAGTGACTACGAAACTGCACTTCACTCGGTATGTCGACGACGAGGATTTCAATACTGCCTGAGGCAACAAGGGGAGTGCCTTGAAACTGAGGGGATACGACAAAGGGGTTTTTTAGCGGTAAACGCGCAAACTTGTGTCTTCTGGGGATTAAACTGTAACTAGGTTTAGTCGCCCCCAGTCGGAGACTTTGTTCAACAACGTTTCGACTTCAGACACAAGTTTATCCCGGTACAATTCTTCATGATGCCACGAGCCCACCACAGAAATTAAACACAATATTACAATTGCGGTTATATATATTAGTGTGGTTATCGTTACGCGTGTGACCTACGAGAACAGCCCACAGCCGGGCGAACAGCACACCCCTTCCCCTCCCCCTCCAATCCTGCAGGGGGTCAAAGGTCAAGCCCGTAGGTGGTTTAATTTTTTTTAATTATTTTTTTTAGGTGGCCAGTGAAGTTGTTTCCTTATCGACGGCTGGTGGTGCTGAAAAAGAACATCATCATGGACCCCCCCGCGCGTATAGAAAGGATTAAATATATTAAGAAGGAAAAACGTAGTGGTAAAACTGTTTTAGTTAGGAGGCAATATGTAAAACAGCCAGCGATTCTATACAACGCCATTAATAAAAGCATAAAAAGATGAATTTTTACCTACCTACCATTAACTACCATAATTGCAAATATGTTCTGACCGACTGGCTATTTCACAAGAGCTATGATGATACTGAGGCTCTTTTAAGCAATATGAAATATTATAATTTATTTATAACAGATACACACGCGCGTGCATGCACTCATTCATTCACTCACCCATTCACTCACACACACAAACACACACGCGCGCGTGTGAGCACACACATACCTTTGGCGTAAATATTATTTTATTTTAATTTTATAGTTAATTGTTATGTAAAGGTCCTCATTTTGCGATTATAGTTTATGTATGATCATTTACTGAATAAACTATTTTTTTAAATCTAAACAGAAAATAAAAACCTGTTCAGCAGACAAACCCGAATGGGTTAATTAGTTTATCGATAGCTAAAGTTGTGGCGTACATCACTACATTGCAGTACTTTCAGTTGCAGTGATACCAGTTTAATTTTACAAAAATTGCATACGTTTGCTTCGAAGTGGCAAGTTTCGATTCGACTTATTCGGCCTTTATTTTGTATAATATATATATATATATATATATATATAAAAAGGGAGGGAGAATACCTTTTACGCATGCATGCTCGTATTTTGTATAATATTTTGATAAAAACCTAGCTATCGATTATATTAAATTATAATTTATAATATATTCAGAATCGTGTTGGGATTGAGCTGAATATTTAAATCATTTGAAAAAACCCGCTACACCTCTTAATGTAATGATTATTATTCATCACAAACCGATTTTTAGTTGATATGCAATAAATATTTATTTTGTGTAGTAAATTATATTTATTTTTAAATCGCTTATTTTTTACTTCATGAACTATGCTGCCAACACTTGGTATTTTACGAAAATATTCAGAAAATACAAGTTTTAACGATAATATTATGTAAAAAGTATTCACAGATGAAAAGACACGTTGACCTTTTGTAGATTTGACGGTTTTAATTGTTTTTTGCATTAAAATACACTGCAATTCGGCATTTTGTCTCTTACGATCACTTGCGTAATATATGATCTTGTCTGGCACGATCACTTGCGTAATGGTGCACGACGCGGAGCAACTATTTTTATACAACAGCTATGGGTCGGACTCTCGTACATTTTACAGAGGGGTATGACTTGCGATGCCGTCTCCTTTGGTTTAATACTCAAAGCAAGACACCAATCAACACGACGGAGTTTTTAGGCCTCTGTCAAATTATGAGGTATCCACCGGGCACAAAGCTGCCTGACCGCTAAATGTTCATGGAGGATTTTGTGCACTTGACTAATATCAATTCCTAAGCTTGTCTGAGTCTTCTGATAAGTCGTTCTTAGGCAGTCTCTATCATACACCGCACAACACTGAGGTTATTTTCAGTCGTCGCCGTAGAAGACCGTCCCTCACGCAGATCATCGGTGAGATTAGTGCGACCACTTTTAAACTCATTAAACCGGTTGTAAACAGTGGCTTCACCTTGAAAGGTCAATCGAAGTCTGTTATAACTTTCTTGTTGACTTAAATAACATCGAAAGTTATAAAAAATCATTGTACGAAAATTTTCTCGCGTTAAATTCATGCTGACGTGACACAGACAAATTCCAAAGAGTTCCATTTTCAAAATTTGAATGTTTTTTTATTATATCGTTTACAAGTGGCCAGTTCTAAAAACTTTCAGTGTCGCCTTCGTAGTGTTAAACATAATAGCAAGTTGAAGTGCGAATGTATTTATTATAGACGCAATAACTTAAAACGGAAATCCCTCACAGATCTGCAGTTCTTAATATTAATCGTTTTAAAATATTTTATATTATCTTTTGATAGTACTTTATGAAATGTGAAATTATTTGTACACGCATTTACATTTTGTTTAGGTATTGAAAAAACTGCCGTTGCCAACCCTAACTACAACTATAGTAAACATGGGCAATATTCCATGAGGCAATAAACGGGGGAGGCCTATGTTTAGTGGAAAGAGATGAGTTGTAACCTGCAACTGTAACTACAATGTTTGTAGAGTCATTTAGCTCCGCTAGATTTTGTTAGTAATGCTGGTAGTTGATAAAATACAGTAATTATAAATAAAAAAAAACAGTAATGTTCAGGTTCATGATTTATTTCAGTCTTACATTGCTAATCAACAAACTACAACAAAATATCAACATTTGGAATGCTTATATCACTTGGGGGTTGCTATTTTCTTACACACCATGTGTTATACTTATTTCTAGAAAACAGAAGGATATCTGCAAACATACGTAGAATGTTAACTTTTCAGTATAGCAGCCATCAAATTTGATGTCAATTATGTTTATGCCATTGAATAACAACCCTCAAACTTACCATACACAACTACATACAAGTTTACGAAACAATTTTAATACTAATTTTAATTATTAGCCTTTTTTAGAAAGATAAGACCGTGAGAGTAGACCATATGTAGATATTCTGAAGGAAACAAAGATGTGTACGCCCATACGAACACTTGACTTTACACAAATATAGAGTACCTAACAAAAAAAAATAGACCGACATCACGCACACATATGCACATATAATGTTTTGCAACCAACAACAAGATTTTAGGTGCATATGCGTGCGTTATTACGAGTTCTTAGAATTTGTTGAGCAAGGTTTAGGCGTCACAAGAAATTTACATACTGTTCTATGTTCTTAGTTGGTGTGAGTATACACAATTAAAAAAGCTCATACAAATTAAAGGTGCTTAAGTTATACACAAATAAAAGTCAAATTAAATTATATCGCTAGAGACGGACATAAATATTGTGCGGTCAAAGACATTAAGTTCCATTTGACGTAGAAAATTTTCGTGACTAGAAGAACTACTGGTATTGTAATAATAAACAAATTTATTTTTTATTTTTGGTTTGTGTTGACAAGTTAAAAATAGAAATACAGCCTTTATTTTAAAATAAATACGACGCTTCATAATCTAAAAAATTCATTCCTAAATTCCAACAGCAGCATAAAAATTACAACATTTTTTAAATACACTATTATTACAAACACTATATTTGATATTGAGAATTTGAGAATGACTTAGGGTTTATGTACAATTATGAAGTAGTAGAGTAATTAATTAACTAAATTTTAAAGTAATCTTAAGCTACCAATTTTTTTATTATTAAGCCTTTTACACGTTTTTAACCCTTTATATTTAAGCTCTTTAGTGTATCCGACATGGACGACCAACAGCATATTCCTGTCATAAATTCAGGTCACTAAAAACCGTGTTAAAATTTTGTTAATGAATTCACGACCTAAAACGTGTAAACCAGCTTTTAGAGGTAATTTTTCATAATCAGATAAAAGTTATCTTTACCATAAAATAAAGCATATGCAAATTAAAAATACAGTTGAATGAATGAGGTTCAATCGTTTTACTTTTATCTGATGATTAAAAATCGGCTCCAAAATAAAATTGAGATCAATTTATAATGGTACCTATGAATAATATGAAAAATATAATAGCAGCAATACATTAAACATTTTATTTATTGTATGGAATTATTGCACAATAGGCCATTTTTTAAATTAAATAACTAGTTCAAAGTTTATAAAACCATTTATACTTAAATTGCATTGTGCTATTGAGAATTAGGCTTCATATAAATGATACAATAGTAAATAAAATCATATTAAATATGATCCTTATAGAATTATAATATTATTTAACTTTTTAAGCATTCGTTCCTAGATAAAATTTTAAAACAATATGGCGAATTAAATTATACGAAAATATATTTAATGATATTTTTGGTTACAGTCACAGTGAGACTTGATTTACGTATATCGTTTGAGTAAAATGTAGATAGAAATAAGTTTTGTAACTGCTCAAACTAAATTTTATAAATAAAGGAATAACAGTAGGGCTGTCCGGACTCTTCGTTAAAATTATACCCATAAAATTCAAAAGTTATGAAATGAAAAAGGTGATACACTTCTTATAATTGTACTGCACAGAAAAATTTATATTTATCGACAGTATCAATACCTTTCAATAGTATCGTGTTTTTATGTGTTTTTCATAGTCTTGAACTCGTTTACACTATATATGAGATAATTATATTATATCCTTGTTTTCAATTTGAATTATTTCTGCAAATACAATTTAAAAGACCACACATAACGTATTGTAGAAATACACTTGCATTTATGTTATATTTTTTTAAGATCCAGAATTTATTTGAAAATATCCTTTGCATTAATACGTAGAGAGTATGATACAATACAAAACATTTATACTTGATTTTTTACTATATGACCTTGGATTTCATTAAAGGAAAATACGATAACATGTAATTTTCTCTATAGAAAATTGCAAAGTAAGCTCTAATTAGTTACGTTTCTCCATGACACCGCAATATTTTTATGAATAAGTTCATGGAATTATTTTTAAGCCATAGTAAATAATCATATCTAGCTCATAAACCATTTCTTTAGGTTTTAGGATGATCGCTACCAAGTTATTTCTAATTTGTCTTGTGTTGTTAATTTTAAACATGATTGTAAGCTATTATTTGGAAAAAAAAAATAGTCCCGCTGGGTTTCTTGCTGGTTCTTCCCAGGAGAGAGGCTTTTTGCGAACCAGTGGTAAATGAAAAAAGTGACTTTCAATAAGTATTGTTTATAATCTATATTGAATAAAAATGTTTCTGTTTCCGTTTAATTCGTTATAAAATTGTTGTTTGGCGCTTACTTTGTGGCATACCTTGGGGGAGCCCTATGTTCAGCAGAGGACTTGTGAAGGGTTGTAACGATGATGATGATAGTGTTTTTCCGAGTGCGTGCTCGGTATAGCTATCTCATAATTTGAGTATTATGAAGTAATTGCATCGCCTTCATTTTGACAATCCCTCAATCGTAAGTGAGCTTCACGGCCAAAGAGACAAGCCTCGCCCCCAAAACTTCGATTCATTTTCAAGGTATCCTCTTAATATAAATTTTGTTTGCTATTGCCTCTCTATCTGTTCGTAAAGGTTCATCGGAATCCGTTTAACCGTTCTAAGGATTTGCTCGGACAGACAGACCGAAAGACAAAATGTTTAAAAATGGTTGTTTATGTTTTAATTGCAAATAACCCCTGAGCTTAATAGAAGCCAGTTATTTCAATATTATAGACAAACACTTCAATTTTATTTACATGTACGAGTATAGTACGCGACTTGAGGGTACTATGGCATCCGGTTAATGTGATCACTTTCCTATAACTCAAAAACTACCGCGTTGTTTGCATAGATGGCTCTGTGATACGATAGCTGTTCATTAGTCTATCAAATATTAAAGAATCAAAAGGGCGTTACTTCATTGACACCATTTTGACAGTTGATTTATTAAGTAAATATTTTAGTCAGTTTTAGTATTGTGTAGTGCAGTTAGTTTTTTTAGGTTGATTTTTGAAGTGTTCCTAATTATTGCCAAAGCTTGTTTGCTATTTTTTCTTAATATATAAGTTACAGTATACGACTTTGAATTTTTGTCACTATCCTCCTTTTAATTTTGGTTTTAAAGGGCGGCAAAGCTTAAGGTGACCACTATGGAGTGTCTTCTATACGAGTACTCCATGTTGACCATATTACCGTCACGTACCTTATAGATGCATAAATTAAGTGATACGTAATGATAGCAACTACATTCGTAGTTAGCCAAAAAGTTCATGGCAGACTAATAAAATTTAAGTTTAATATAATAATATTTATCATTTCAAAACTGCGCTTACTTCTAAAGTGACTGCTGGCAACCATTATCTGTCCTTACTCCTTATTGTCATACATTATCAATTCCGCGGCCGGTGGACTTTTCTGGCAGGACTGAATACTAATTCTAAAATATATTTGACAACGTCATTGCGACAGGCAGCACGTTAGCTTGTCTAAAACGTAGACAGAGAAACCTATAGACTAATGACTAGCGTGGCCTTGATTGAGAAAGGACGATAACGTAGTTTTATGTTATACAATAATCTTTATGACTTTTAAACATATTTAGATAAAAAATTTAATTGTTCTAAGAACTGAACTGAACAAGATTCACCAATCTTAAGCTCACAAAACACTTTTTTCTCACTTAAACCAACTTGTAAACTCCTTAGATCGCTACGAACTGTCAAAGTTGTTTAGCAAAGTGTAGTTTGCTAAAGAAAAAAACCGGCACGGAGAAAGGGACAAATAATCACACCGCTCTGTCTCATTTCTATGCAAGACGTATGCATAAATATATCTTTTTCGTGTGCGAATGCGAAAGAAGGCGTCAATTTGTCTATAGCTTTCTTTGTCTACGGTCTAAAAGGTAAAAATATCCACAGTTTTAACAACTACATTAATCAAATATTTACACGAATGAATATAATGGTTTGGCTACACTATGCTCCAGCTGCTGCTTGTCCACACAGTGCTCTAGTCGCGCATCTAATCGCGACGCTCCGCACTAGATCGTTCGCTTTTGCAACACAATGGATGTGGAAACGATTGCAGGCTGCGAGCTATGCATATTTATTATAGCTAATTATATCAATGTCATAAAAAGAAATATACGTTGTCGCCGTCGAGATAGCTTTTTCTCATATACAGATATATTATTTACTCATGTGATAATATTTCGGAATGATGATGATAGGTACACTATTTATGATTTTTAAATGACACGTGAACACGTGAATGCTACCGCAACGAGCACACGATTCGGACTGCGTTAGCGCAAGTGTGTGGCCAGCCACTCGCGCTCATATTGGTAGTTCTTTGGCTCGTGCCCAAAAAGCCGACAAAACAGGGAGCGATGGGCACGACGAGGCGAAGCATGCCGTGCGGCATGACGGCTACTTCCCATGCCACTCGACGAGTGTGTGGCCAGGGGGTAACGAATATTCAAACACTTGCGTTAGCCTTTGATAGCTAAATTTACAGTTGCACTAACTTTTAACGATACAGTAATATTGTTTTTAGAATTAATTCTGTAAAAATTCTTTAAAACTAATGTTTACATTCAAAACATTGTTACCCAAATTATAATAATAGACAAAACTACTTCATATAAATATTATATATATATATGGGGATATCCAGGATGCAAACAATATGACGATAAATAGATTTAAAAGATCTATTACCTTCGCGTTGCATCTAAATTCCAAATGATCCAGTAAGACAACGGAGAGAGATAAATGCAGTTCGGAGACGGAAATGGATTTTACCTATGTAAAATTGACAAAATCATCGTATTTTGTTTCCTCCTCCCAAAACTAAATTGATTTCAATTATTTTCAAAGGTTGTTAAAAAAGGATTGTGGCTACGTCTCTACGTATTTTGAATCTTATTCTTTATGTTCGTAATATTTGCTTGATGGATATCTAATAATGGCGCTACAATTGGACCGTTTCAGCAATTTAAGAAGGGTTCTAGCTTTTTAAATAATTGAGTTATGAAATAAAATATACGAACATGGCAGTAATTTCAGATTGTACTGTTAATATAATAAATATTTCCTCTTAAAATTGAAAAAAAGAAGAAATTTGCTCAAAAATCCGTTTTGAAAAAAATTTGCAGTGTGAGCAGTGCGTTTGCATGGACCCAGCACACTAATATCCTCTTAATTTTAGTAGTTACCCGTATATCCCTTGTGTTGTTATGAGATAAGAACATACTAGTTATTTTATGACAGTGATCAATAATATAGAGATACAAATAGTATACGCATCGAGATACAAATGGCGGGCACACATGTAGTATTTCGTTGATTTGTTACATAATATTAATTAACAAACTGCTTCGCCAAATTCCCAGATGAACGCGTGCGTCACCGACCATCTTTATCTAGACGGAAATGACCTAATGAACCGTTATGCATTTGGTCATATATGATAAAGCTCGAATAAACAAAATTTATAATTACGTAACATTTGTAATTATTCAGTCACACCTGAAAAAGATAATATCTTTTTAACATTAACACTTAGATTTTCTCCTGTATCCGGAAGAAGTGCCTATTTATATGATGAACAAAAAATTGTTCCGGGTCCGGAAGTTTGTCCTAATACAATTTATGTTTGCAAACTGCCTCCATGATACAGTAGAGAAAGAATGACTTTAAAATTATTTCAAATGTTCTATGATATATGAAAATCTTTACTAAATATTTTATTTTAAAATAATATGAAAATAAATATATGTTTTTTATACAGCCTATTAGTTTTGTAAAAGACTGTGACGATATGACAGGCTTAAACTAAACATTGTTAAATCACTCATTTAATTTATGACTTTTAATGAATACCATTCAAAGTCATAAATTAAATGAGTGACCACAACAATCACAAAGAGATCTTTAACAATTTTTAAAAATTTGAACTAAGAATTAGAAATTTACAAAAACAATCAAGCTTAATATAAAACTAAATTGGACTTTCAAAATTCTTCCCTTTCATAAATTAAGATGTAAGGCAGAACAAGTTCTTAAGTCTTCTCCTTTGTATAAACATGTATTTTAGCCTAGTATACCTATTTTTGGTCTAGATCATGCCAAAGCCTTCGCCGCCTTCGTTAATAGCCCAGAGCAGCGCGTGTACCATTTGCTCGTAGCTGTCGTAGTCCGGCAAGCAGAGCTGGTTGAAGCAGGTGTGTGCCGTGGGCAGGGCACCAAAAGTCGGTGCAGCTGTTATTTGGAAACGTGGATTTAGCTCCTGAAATTAAACGAATTGTAAGGATTTATTAAATATTTTTGGATCCCGAAACTAAGTTGAAGAAGGATATTAGAGCAATATATAGACGTTTCGTAAAAAAATACTATAAAAAACCAAATTAGGTTTTATAAGGGATTAGTTAATAACTGAAGCGGGGATTATTAAATATATTTTTAATAATTAGGAGAATTCATAGAATAGATTCGATACTCCGTGTTCTTTTCAAAGCCTTCGAGTGTGTTCATCATGAGATATTAATCAGGAAACTACAATATTATTGTGTAAGAAATGTTGCTCTTAGTTTATTTATTCATATTTAAATTTATAAAAAGTTTTTACCAACGGTAAAAGTTCTTTTGTGGTCATTATGTAGTAGATTGTACAATAGGTGTACCCCAGGGTTCTATTCTTGGTCTATTGTTGTTCTTAATCGAATACCATAAAACTAAATACTAGAAGCAAGCATAATAGAGTACTAGTGATAATAGTAATTCGACTCCAAAGAGTCAGAAATTCCTTCATGGGGCAATGTATTTACAATAAAGTTACAAAAAATATGCAAGGCCTATCTATAAAAAAAATAATTTCTTAATTAATTTTTACATCAAATTGAATCACAAAACATATAAATATAAACTTACAGTTATCTTATACAGATATTACGTGTATAAGTACAAGTACAGCGCGTGCAGCGCTCTCCTGAAAGCCGCCGGGCGGCAGCTGCAAGCAGCCGGTGCAGAACTGCAGCAGGCGCGCGCGGTCGTCACCACTGAGGCTGGCGAGCACGGCCTAGGACCAGGCCGGCAGCCAGTGCAGTGTTAGCAGTGCGTGCGAAGCCGCCGGGCAGCATCTGCGAGCAGCCGGTGCAGAACTGCAGCAGGTGCGAGCGCTCCTCGCCGCTGAGACTGGCGACCGCGGCCTACAACCAGGCCAGCAGCATTTGCAGTGTACGCCGTGCGTGCAGCACTCACCTGGAATCCGCTGGGCAGCAGCTGCGAGCAGCCGGTGCAGAACTGCAGCAGGCGCGCGCGCTCCTCGCCGCTGAGACTGGCGAGCGCGGCCTAAAACCAGGCCAGCAGCATTTGCAGTGTGAACAGTGCGTGCAGCACTCACCTGGAATCCGCCGGGCGGCAGCTGCGAGCAGCCGGTGCAGAACTGCAGCAGGCGCGCGCGCTCCTCGCCACTGAGGCTGGCGAGCGCGGCCCAGAACCAGGCCAGGCGGCGCTGCCAGTCGCGCCCCGCACCCGCCACAAGCGCGTGCGCGCGCCAGTCCGCCGCGCAAAGCTCGCCCGTGCCGCACACCAGCAGCTGCGCACACGCACACAGTGAGGCATGCCATTAACTGCATAAACTCGGGACATAGCAGACAACTGGGCCGCAATCTCACTTGAAACTCAAAACTCAAATATCACTTGAAAACGTATTAATAATTTTAAAATAAACTCTTATTTTACAGCAAAGGTTTACTCTCTTACCGCTAAATGATTTCAGTACCCCAGACAATTCAATATGTTTAGATTGATTAAATATGAATTCAAAAACTCAAAAAACTACTTTTGTGACTGATATAAGGCGTTCGATTGCGTAAATCATAAAATACAATTGAACTATTTAGGGCGTTATGTTATCTCAATAAACACTAGATACATTATAAAATACTATCTTTCCGACCGGTTGCAAAAAAGCAGTTATAAATGTACCTCAACTTCTGGAGCACCATTTAATATGGGTGTGCTCCAAGGAACAGTATTAGGACCACTACTCTTTTTATTATATACTTTATTGTACACCACAAAACTATTAAAAAAACAGATTACAGAAAGTAATATTTAAGAGGTAGGTACAATAAGGCGGTCTTATCGCTAAAAAGCGATCTCTTCCAGACAACCTTAAGATTAGGAGAAAATTGTACTATTGGACAGTGGGAGGTGGTGTATATTATAATAAACTTACATATTAATACATACATAAAGTAAACCAATACATAATAACTGATCAAAGGTTAGAATAAAAAAATGCGCGGATTGAACTTCTTTTTTTATTGTAGCAATCGCGACACTTCTTACTTGAAATAAAAATAATTAGAAACTTATTTTGGAATTGCTACTTAAAATTTACCTATAATGAGAGAAAATTAGTCTGGCCCACCAGGAAGGGTAAATGGAATAGGTAAACTCACGGTTAGCGGCAGCGGCGATCAACTCCAACTTGGCTTCAACGATATCTTCGGATGTGGAAGGCTTCAGTCTTCCTTGACCACACTCCTACGTGATTATATAGTCTATGCACACATCTGGGTCGACTCGGCACACTCACTAACGCTATTTTCAATGATTTTTATATTGGAAGGCTTAGACAAAAACAGCCATACCGATGCAGTTCGTCTTGAGTCTTGATTACATGTCGGTATCGATCGCGTCGACTTCTTTTACTTGCTTCTTTTTTTTAGCTTTTGTTGTGGGCCAACAGATGGCGCCATAAGTTTTGTTTGGCGGTTAATTGGAAAGAAGGATGCGATAGAAAAGTAAGGAAGGCAAGCCAGTACATAATTCCCCCCACTTGTAATCGTTTCAGATTTCATGAGTAAATAATCAATAGCAGTTCTCCCTATAAAATTAAATACTTCAAAAACTTAGAATAATATGTACCTAACTTACTATAGTATTAACAATTAAATTTTAGTTGCATACCTATTGGAATGGTATATAAGGAAACGTAATTTAACAATTAAATCTACCAGCTAAATAACAAAAGGTTATAATATTAATTATAAGAAAAAATTGACAAGTATTGGTATATTATTGATTTAATGGTAGAGGACACAGTTTATTCACTGGTCTCTTAAGGAGTCCATTATTAGTGCGTAGGGTGACCAACACGCACTACACCGTCTTTGCCGGGATGCACGTCTAGAACTCTACCTGAACGCCACTCTAGTGGTGGTAAATTGCTAACGACAATTAATACAATATCTCCGACGTGAACATTCGGTTGTTCTCGAAACCATTTAGCGCGTTGCTGTAAGGTATGGAGATATGTTTATGCCAAAAAGACTGTGTAATTTTTTGAAAACATCTGCCAGCGGGCCCGAGAGGGAAATATATTCATTAGAGAGTTCAGGTTCTGGTAACGATATGAGAGGACAAAACATGCAATATATTTGGATAAACGCGACCGAATTAAGTTACGAATGCCAAGTATCCAATATCTTCGCTGAATAATAAAAAAATTAATAAAAAAATAATTTTATATATAAAAAAAATCGATTGAAGAGTACGAGGACCACAGTGTAAGTAATTAACATGAAAGTAATCTATGATAAGCAAGGATAAGCGTGACGCCTTTGGCAACAGTACGGGATGTTTTACGGTTGCGGGTAGATTAGATTGCTCTAGACGGCCCCCCACTCGCAGCAATCCCGCATCATCAATAAAGGGATTCAGTCTTTTAACGGCTTTGGTGGCTTTGATTTCCTCTGTAAGATGAAGTTTTTGTTCATGTCGAACCATATAGACAATAGACTGCTCCAGCTCTGATACGCTCAAGAAATTCTTAGTATTATAGTTTCGTTTGAACGCTGCTACAGCCCGCAAACACCACGCTAGCACACGCTGAACGCGGGATAGCGTGGAGTAGCGGTCTAAGAGTCCACTAATAAAATCAAGCTCAGTAGAGCCGTTATCCGTTTGAGACACATGAGCAGTAGAGCGCAACTCGGGTACGGAAGCTTGCGATTCCCATTTGAACTTTATTGGCCAAGTGGGGAATCGTTAGCTAGCCAACTTGGACCTGACCACCACACACAACATGTCGCCAGTTGTGAACCACTGAGAGCTCGACTGCAATGATCGGCAGGATATGTGTAGCCAGCGTTTTTAACGGCACAAAATGAAGAGTTTAGAAAGAAAATAGAGTACTTGGAGGCCCAGGTAAAGGAGGATAAAAGCTACATAACCATGTTGGAGAACAAAGTAGAAGATATGCAAAAAGATAGGAGGAAAGCCAACTTCGAGATCAAAAATGCACCAAAGAAAGAAAAGGAAACAAAAGAGGATCTCATTGACATGGTTGTATGTCTCTCTAAAAATATCGGTTGCGAACTAAATAAAAATAACATTACTGATATATAAAGAATCCGAGGGAAAAAAAGTTCCGCTCAAAACACTCCGATAATTGTGGAGACATCGTCTACTTTAATTAAAAATGAAATTATAAAAATGAGCAAAGCATTTAACATAAAACATAAAACTAAACTATGTGCCAAACATCTTGGACATCGGACGTCTGAAGACACCCCAATCTTTATTTCGGAGCATCTAACGGCGAAGGCTGCCCGGTTGTGTCCGAGTGTGTTAAGACAAATCGAACAAAAAATCATAAATAAGAAAAGATGAGAGTCAGAATAAACGCGACAAAATCATTCGTAAAAGTATAGTTTTAATCATGTGCCTGAACTTGTTCGCGTATATATAGCTCTTAGAATATCGTTAAGTTTAATTGTGGTTAATAACAAATTTACATATAAAAAAATATTATGTTATAGAGGAGCTTTTTTTGTGTCATGTCAAAAATTGTAAGAGCTGATTTTCTGCAAATTACTATCATGTTCTTGGTACTGGCTAATGTATTTAATGTGAACATGAAATGGTTCATTTCATTTAACATATATTTGCCGCCTTATGATCCACCTGGCAAAGAAAATTACGACCTAATGATTTGTGTTTTATATATCTTTGAACATGTTTTGCTCTCTTAATACACTGAATGAAATAGACGATACTAAAATTGCTTACGCAACGGAGTGTGATATCCAAAACCTCAGTAAACATAAAATTAAAGTAAATGATTTAGCATTAATAACGCAGAATATTAGGTGTCTTTAAAAATATTGATGATTTTCAAGTTACATTAACGGGCTTAAATTTTGAAGTCGACATATTAATTCTGACAGAATGTCGATTGGATCCTAATAAACCTATACCTATTATTGCTAATTATAGTACTTCTGCGACGACTTATAACAACAATCAAAACGACGGCGTAGTGATTTATGTTAGAAAGAATCTTAAGGTAAATGTAAAAGAAATTAAACTCGAACATGCATCTTGTTTGCAAATTGAAAATGTTAATAACAATATTCTCGGCATATATCGCTCGCCCTCAAATAAAAATGCAACAAAATTTGTTGATTCCCTTTATAATCACTTGGATATAGCAAGATCATAAAAAAACATTGTAATATTAGGAGATATAAATATCAACCTCATACCGAGAAGTAATGAATCTACATATGAAACAGAAACAGAAACTTTTTTATTCAATGTAGATTATAACAATACTTATTGAAAGTCACTCTAAACTTTATTAGTGCAACAATAGGTCTTATTATTTAAACACACTGGCTACATTTGGAATTTTACCCGGACATACTCTTCCTACCAGACTATTTACCTGTCTTGATCATTGTATGTTAAAAATTGATAAAAGATAAATTTCAGCTTTTATAGCCATACTTAACACCACAGTTACAGACCATATTACTGTCTTTTTATGTCTATCAAACCTAAAACAAAATGAAAATCACTGCAGTAAAATAAAATAAATTATTGATAAAGCTTTAGAAAATTTATTATATAAAAATCTAAATGATTTATTATACTGTGATGATCCAAATTTCATTGCAAAACAATTGATAATGAAACTCTGTGAGTCCATGAAGGAAAGTAGATCAGTGGATAGTCTGTCCAATAATCGCAAAATAGCTATTAAGCCATGGATTACTCCCGGTTTATCAAAAATAGAAATAAAATGCAATGAAATCTTCGTAAAGACCCCAACAATGAAATTTTGAAAATAACTTTTAAAAGGTATCGTAACTATTGCAACAATTTACTTAAAAAACTAAAACATAAATATGAAAGAGAACAATTGGCTCGAAATACTAAAAACTCAAAATTGCTTTGGAATACTATAAAAAAATTACTCATTTAAAATCAAATAAAACGCCTAATACTGAATTACTCAATTTTAAAGAAACCCCTATAAATTCAGTTAATCATGTCAATGATATCTTCGCTAGTGTGGGAAAAACCTGGCTATTCCCTATGACAGCTCACCTTCTAATGCTAACAGCTACCTTAACAGTTGTCAAATTTCGTCATTTGTCCTTTTGGAAGCTGACCACCAAGAAGTTGCTAGTGTACTTATGGATCTCAAATCGGAAAGTGCTCCCGGTTGGGACAACATCTCCACAAAGTTCCTCAAGCAGTCCATAGATCTTGTGTTGCCTATCATTTGTCACCTGACAA